CCTTTTTTTAATAAATAAATAATATTTTAAATTGGATACTATATATCGAAAGAATATTAATTGGTAGAAAATGATATTAAAAAATTACTAATAATGATATTAAACTGAAATAAATATTTATAGATTTTCACCAAAAAATGTTCATTTGAACACTTAATTCAATATCTCTACTTTACATGTACCATATAAATGTACACATGGATATAAATCTTTGGATGTATCAATAGTGAGAGACTAGTAATAAATAGAATTTGATACGAATGATTGATTTGTAAATTACTTTTTCCATTTCACATACTTCTTTTGAATGTCCACTTCAACTATTATTATATCATTTGTAGAAAATGGAAATGCTATTGATTTTTCATTCTTATCTTATTAATCATGATTATAACATTAACCATTATGATATATATTATAAGTCCTATTAGTACTATTAATATCATAAATATACCCTCCTTCAATACTAAAACAACTTTGATACCCTCTACTCTACACATTATCCCTAAAAACCAATTCCAATCATAATATCACCAATTTCAATAATTTTAACAGCAAATTAGATCATATCATTCTTAGGAATCATTTAATCACACATACAACATTACCAACCACTTATCTTTGTCTGAATAACTTTTCCATTTTAAGTTACTGAACAATTATTATGCTTATAAATTGTTGAGAATGTCAGCGATTAAGAGAATTACTATGCCTACTTCTAATTTACAATTAAATGATACCAAAGTTTGTTATAACTATTATATAATTTACTCATTCTTCTAATTTATTTCGGATAAATTTTCATTTTCATTCTTCAAATCATTGATTTTCGTAATTTATTCTGAATCATTTTTCTTTAACATATTTACTAATTACTGATTTTCTAAATTCAATTTATTATTTTCAATAAGTTGATTTTAAAGTGATTCCTTTTCTGCTGTTAGTTAATCAAATTAAATGAATTTTTATATTAAGGAGAATCCTTTTGAATCTTTGTTAATTATTCATTAAACTTATTAATATTAATAAAATTGTACTTATTACAATTATGTATCTTGGAATTCATCAGATAAACTACTTATTTTTTGCATAATGAATTCATACTAATTTAATCCATCATTTAAAATATCTTAATATATTTTAAATTTTTATATTTATGAATTTAGTTATCGAATTTATTAGATATTTTAAATAGATACCTTATCATCTGATACAATGTCATTTGTCAAATCTTTTATATTAGACATATTAAGATTTGATTCTTTGAAGATCTAATTAATCTTTTCAGTTGCTACTAAATCATTTTACATCAATTTTGCAAAATTATTTGATATCATTTCTAATTATTTAAGATCTTGTTTTTAAATATTAAGTTGTTTTTCAGCCAAAACTTAGAATTTATCATCTTAACTTAATATTTCAGTTAATTCATCGATTTATTCAATATTCATTTAAAAAATGATATTGTCATTAAATTCATTAATTTGATTTTAATTGAACATTGAATATTAAGTGTTTATCTTATTTATGATTTCTGAAATAGTAGAATTATACTTTTCTTTAATATCTTGAAGAATATCAATGATTTATGTTGATTTCAAATATCTTTGATTCTAAAATCGTTTGATATAATCACTAGTTTATCCTAAATATTCATTCCATTTAAGATTAGCATCTTTTAAAGTAGTGTATTTGATTGGATTATGTTATTAAATACATTCAACACAAGCCAATCTAGACAATTAAGTTTTATCAGGATTCAGATTAAACATAATAATTTCTTTTCCATGTTTATTACATTAAATCTTTAAACTTGGTGTTTTCTATTTTTAATATTTAATAAATAATGATTACCTATGGATCTTCCTCTTTTTTATTAAGTAATTAGCATTATTTTACTTCTTTATTCTCGTTTTCTACTTTTATTTATTCTAAACATTCTTTGATTTCAATTAATTTAGGACAATTGATTATTGATTATAATTATTATTCTATTGAATCAATATAAGAATTATCATCCAAAGACTTCTCAAATTCTTTAGGAATTTCAAAATTGAATGATCCTTTGTAATTATTTGATAAAATTCTAACATCTTCTTCAAAAGTAGAGACCATAGTTTTTGATTCTGAATCATTTAATTCATTCTCCATTAGAGTTATTTTCTAATTTAAATTAGATTATAGCTTATCTATGGTATTATTGATTGACACTTTCATTTCTTTTAATTATGATTCAATTTATTTAAAGTTTTGAATTCTTCTTTAATACTCTCTGAGTCTGTTGTTCAACTACTCACTTTTCATTGATTTAATCATTGTTTTAGTTTCTTCTACCAAAGCCATGTTTTAAATATCAATTTTCTCCATTAAACACTTTATGCAAAGGAATTTATCTTCAACAGCTGTTGATTATTTTAAATCTATTGTTAAAATCTCTAATTTATGTTTTTAACACATCTTTCTATCTAAATCAGATAACATTTATATAATTAATTACTCTTAAGATATTTTATATTTGCATTATATACTCATTTCTACTATATTTCTTCTACAATCAGAATGATTTGGCTGCTGAACTTTATTATTGAATGATAACCAGATTTAGATTTAGGGATTTATAATGGTGGTTATATGCAATCTATCGTCTTTATCTATCCCTTAAATTCATTCTTGCATTTTAAACGTTTTCTTCAATTTATTAAAAGAGAAGCAAAAATATTACCAAAGATAATCTAGATTTATGATTCGATCAAAATAGGACAAAGGACTATAATATCATACAATATTGAATAGTTTATACTCAAGACCCCATCAATTTAAAACCTTATATGAATAAAGCGAAGGAAGATATTTATCATTCTCAAGGCCTGGGCTCTATTGCATAGGGGGAGTTACACTAAGGTTTAAGTAAACACAGAGTGAAATATCATCCTTACCTACTTTGTGCGATATCAGGGGATGATAATGTATAGGAAAAGAAGTCAGACTAACATTGGATAGAGAGTGTGGATTTGCTTTATGATCCTTATTAAATAGGCATTGGAGGAGAGAAGCTCAGTTTTGTCATTTGAATGGCAAAAATAAATGAATAGGAGTATAATTAATTGATTGACACTCGATGCATAATTAAAAGTTATAATTCTAATGAAACTATAACAAATTTCGAATTTCTTCCTTTACATTCTCTTTATTTGGCAGTTTAACAAAATCATGTTTATTATTTACTTGACATTTAATATTGATTTATTCGTTTTTAAGTGTCTTCAAAAATTAACTAAAAGCATGAATTCAAATAGTTTTATAAATTAAAACTACAGTTAAGTGAGTAAAGAAACCAGATTCCAATAGAATTCCATTTTTTCGAATTATTAAATCTATCTTTTATAGTTCAATATCCTTTAACCTTCTTTGACTTAAATTACGATGTTCTTGATTTCAATTTGATTTAAGATTTCCCTAATTTCGGCTTAAGATTTAACTTCTAAATTCTTAAAATTACTATAACTATGGTTTTGTAAAAGGTTTTCTATGCAGAAAGAGTAATATTATAAATAATAATTATAAACTCAAGCTTTAAATTTCAAATATTTATGTAACTTGCGCTTACTTTTCAGATGCTAAGAATCAATCCCTAAATTATAATTTCTTTGAAATTCTAAGTTACATAATAATTTGAATTTCCATCTAGGCAAATTTGACATTATTTGAAGAGTGATTGAAATTCTTGATCTTGTAAAATAATACTAATATTTCCTTTATTTAAATTTCCTGCTTTGATATTATCCCTTAATGACTGGATTTTTTGAAATAATAGATGAGTAATTTCCAATATTTGATACCAAATGGTATATAAAGTTAATTTCTTAATATACCGATTAATATCTATGTTCATACTATTGCTTATTTATTTGGAAAATTGTAAATCATTTGAAAAATACTATTATACTTTATTTGTCAAATCTTTTGAATTACTTAAAATACTATCATCAATTTCTTCAACTTTCTTGAAAATCTCAAAATGATTTGGAGAAACTTAACAAATCAGTTGGCTTGTGTTAAAAGAATTATTATTTTAAGTTAAATAATGTGCTTATCACTTATAGATTAAAAATATTTTGCATTTAAGAATAAATTGTAATGTAAAGTTTGTTTTGTTGTATTTAATACCTTGTGATTATTTTAATTAACTTTAATTAAGGTTTTTTGAAATTTGAAAGATGATGAAATTCATTCAAAAACTAGAATTTACAAATGAGTTATATTCTAATTTCTTTATAAATTTAAATGGTAAATTATAGACAGTGTATTTAAATCATGAATGTAGAGCCCAATATATAAGCCCCATATATGTTTTAAAAGCTTTGAATGCCCAAAAACCCTTTGAGTCGTAAGTGCAATTTTAATAGTTTCAAGTACATTATCAATTAACTTATATTTTAAGGATTAGATAACTATTCTTTTGAATGAGCTGAAAACATCCCAATAGAAATTGAAATAAAATTTTGTGAGTTTTTAAATTATTGTATACTTATATTAAAAGTAATTTCAAACAAACTGTTATTTATTCCTTAAACTATATTTTCAATTATATGATAAAGAATATTATCTTCTCAAAGATAGATTTTTCTAAATATTTTAATGGGAATTGTTCCAAAATATATGAAATTTGCAGTTTAACATATGTAATTAATAAGGAATGTTTTCCTTATTTGAAAAT